CCCGTAGCCGGGTGCGGTGAGTGCTTGGGGGCTGCTCGGCCTATCCTTTGGTCAGGCTCAGCCCCGGCAACTCACCAGGGCCGGGCCCAGTTCATATAGAAAGGCCAGTCGGCAAGTGTCACTTTGCCAAAGTGCCACTTATCAAAGGGACACTTTGGGAAACGTTGGTGCAGGTGTGTAAGAGTGGCTATATGAATCCATTGTGGGGTCGCCCTTTCCAATAAGTGTCACGTAACAGCAATGGGACCAGGGACTCTATATGAACTTGACCCAGGGTGCTCGCCAAGAAGATCAATGTCTCCATCCTATGATCCTTCCGGCTCTGAAATGGTCGTCAGACCGAAAGGGCATAATCCAACAAAACAAACCAAATTCGTTAGCTGGCTGCGTGGTGTAGTGGTTAGCGCACTAACATCGCGTTCAAATGACACGGGGTTCGAATCCCATCGCCGGCTGATGCTTTTGGCGTGTTGTCCCAGTAAACATGCCGACGTCGGCGACTGGGGGCTCGAATCCCGCCGCCGGTTGATATTTTTGGCGCGTTGTCCCAATAAACATGCCGACGTCGGCCCCGTCGGTCCAACGACAAACGATCTCGTCAACCTCGACGAACGATCTCGGCCCGACGTCGGCTCGACGTCGGCTGGACTTCGGCTGGACGGGCATATCCGACGTCCAGCCGATGTCGGGCCGAGGTTGAACCGACGTTGGGCCGACGTCGGGCCGAGCCTCGGCCCGACGTCGGGCCGACGTCGGCATGTTTACTGGGTGTCTAGAAGTGGAATTAGACAAAAACACCCGCAAATGGTGTTTATAAACTCATGAAGTGTGCGAAGGAAGAACTGTTGTGCCAAAGCACATTTGAGTCACTTTTATATCGGAGTCGATTTATGAAGGAACCGCGGGCTGGAACACGATGTAAGTCGCTGATACCAGCCGCGGGCCGGACGTCAGCTGGTCGCGGGCCGGATCCAACCGTCACCCACCTGGCCGGATCCGGCCTGCGGGCCATATGCCGACCCCTGACCTAGAAGGCCTTAAAATCGGGTATTAATCTCTGCGGCTCGTAACGGCGCACACGCTCGTTTTTTTCCGCGACTCGCTAGCTCCACCAGTGGCGAAACGGCGATGGGGGGGGGGGGGGGTCGTACCCGCCCCCTCGGCCGGCGTGTACCGTAGAAAACAAATAGGTCCGGCGGGCAGTAGCGGCGGAACATCTTCAATTAAGGGGGGCACGGCACTGCCGACTTTTGGTCCAATATGCTTTCCATGCAACGCCCATAGGGCTACTGTTTAACCCGGCAGTTGCTGGGGTATTTCGCCACCCACCGTTTGCTGGGGAGGGGCGTTAAACGCCCCCAGCCGATAACTCGAGAACCAATAGGCGCAGCGAAACGCACGAGGCGGCAAACGAAAGAACGCGACGAGACGCTTCAGATGAGTACTTTAAAGTTGAATTTTGAGGTCACAGGTCGGGTCAAAGTCAGGTCAAACACCTGAAATCGGGCTTTCAGTAGCATGGACTTCAGGACTTCGCAATGGGCGCCTCTCGTCAGAAACTCTGTCAAAACGGTGCACATTCCATCATATAAGGCCTACAAGAGTGTCAATTCCATGTAGGGGTCAGTCAAGCATAGGTCAGGGTCAAGGTCAGGTCAACCGGGTAGGCACATATCCCCGAAAATCAAAGTTGATATTCGCAGCCTATGACACATGTTTTATGGGTAATTTGGGCCGCAGAACACGATGGTGACATTCATTTTATCATATGTGTACGTGTTTGGCTCAAAAAGTTCAATTTAAGAAATTCATGTATCATGGTCGTGAAGTAGTCACGAGAAATTGTCAAGATTCAGTTCAAGATTTTGGAAAATGCGGAACGATAATCAATAATGGAAGATAGCCATTTGATTGTTCATGGTATTGGCATTCTAATGGCGTTTACGGCATGTCCGTATGTCTATTCTGTGATTTTATATGATTTTTTGAACATATGCCGTTTTTGGTCGAAAAATCAGAAATCATGACGTCACTAAAACCTCGATATCTCAAAAAATTTCCGTCCGATTTGTTTGAAACTCTGTCACAATAAACTTCAATCAATTCCCTACAGGTACCCAAAATTTGGCGCGCCTGCGGCGCGCCATTTTTATTCTATGGCCCGGCGAAAAAAGTGGGGGCGTTTAACGCCCCCCCCAGCAACTCGCGGGTTAAAGGCCAAAATTAAAGAGGGGAACGGTGCCCCGGTGCCCTCCCCGTTCCACCGGCTATGCCGACGAGGGTACAAGAGATTATATTGTCATTCAACGACCGCGAAAAAAAGAATGTCCGGGACACAAATGATATGGAATGTTACAATTATCGGCTCCAAATACAATAGCTTCACCTGACTGACCTCATCTACCTGACTTCAAAAGTTTCGATCATCCATTCCATGCATCAAATTCGTCATTCACTTGACTGTCTGATATTTCTTCATGGTTTTATTGAACCACATTTGTGGACGAGTGTTTGCGGAGACGAAGATAGCGCAGACAAAGATTTGCGGACGAAGATTTGCGGACGAAGATTTGATTGGACGAAGAAATGCGTGGACGAAAAATGCGGACGAAAATTTGCGGACGAAGATTTGCGGACGAAGATTTGCGGACGAAGATTTGCGGGGACGAAGATTTGCGTGGACGAAGAAATGCGGACGAAGATTTGCGTAGACGAAGAAATGCGTGGACGAAAAAATGCGGACGAAGATTTGCGGACGAAGATTTGCGGGGACGAAGATTTACGGACGAAGATTTGCGCAGACGAAGATTTGCGTGGACGAAGAAATGCGGACGAAGATTTGCGTAGACGAAGAAATGCGTGGACGAAAAAATGCTTGACGAAGAAATGCGCCGACGAAGAAATGCGGATACGAAGAAATGCGCTACGAATTTTTGCACCTACGAAGAAATGCGAGACGAAGTAATGCGACACGAATAAATGCGCCGACGAAGATTTGCGGACGAAGAAATGCGGACGAAGAATTGCGCGACGAAGAAATGCCATACGAAGATTTGTCCTGGAATCTTTTTCGCCTGGTTGGTGAAACTCGTCGGCTGGTTTTTGACAGAAAAATTGCGCCGGGCTGCTATTTTTCTGTTGGTAAAACTGGCCTCAGCATCGACTTCTTCTCGTCACGGGCTATATAATCGGTTTTCCGCGAAGCTCGCTCGATCAGGGACCGTACAGCAAGGGGTCTAACGGACCCCCTCCACTCCACATATATTATCGTCAGCAAAAACAGGGTGAGGGTTCAGCCTCTCAGCACCAGTGACTGAAGTGAGGATGTTGAACATATTTCTGGCTCCTACACCGTTTTCATTTCATCACTGCCAACTCCTCCACAGCAATCAGCTGTGAATCAAATGAGCAGTCAAAGGCCCAGGTGATTGGCAAGAATAAAAATGTTAATATCAGCCCATAATAATGGCAACACAAAGGACAACCCTACCATGTTAAGTGTGACTGACACTTAACAACCCTTCAGAGATCTACATAGCAACATGAAGGATCTGATACCTAGCATATCAATCATCTTAATTTGAGCATGAGACCAAGGCCATATAACCCATGACACTTTTGAAAGAGAGGACCACTGGCCCATGAGACAAACATATACTTGGTTCTTATAACTCACTGTTGGAATTCCTAAAAGGTTCTTGAAATCAGCTGATTTATAACTCAGCTCTGGATTGTAGATTGATTATCAATCAAACAATCCAGCTACCAGGTTATTAAGTATTAACACTAATACCAAGCACAAGAACATGGAATCATAAAAACAAACAAATTAAGACTGAATTCACACAAATGCACAGCAAGCATTCAAAAGTATACATTGATGCAGATTACAGGTCATGATCAGGGTTTTGAATGACTTAGCTACAAAACCAGTGTAGTGATAGAATCGAATTGCAGCAAAAGGCAAGACAAAAATGACATCAAATGTTTAGGACTTAAGATAGAAAAAGGAGCAATCAAATTGTGTTTATCACTATTACATGGAGTTAATCTTTCAAACCAAATAAGCTGATTAATTGCATGAAAATAATACACAAAATTACAGAGTACTACCAAGGAATAAATTATGAATTTAAGATTGCTTAGCAATGGGACAGAAATTGTTTTCATTGTGTAAGCAAAAGGCAAAATCTTTACAAAACTCACCACAAATGGAAAACATTAATTGACCCAACACCATAAGCAAACCTTCCCTGGTTCAGGAAAATTTCAAAAGCTTAAAAGTTAAAAAGTTCAAGTGGGTAGAGTTCTATTCATCTTCAAGCAAATTTAGCATTTAAGCAGTTCCCACAATAAAAAACTCAACAAGGGGGAGAACAAGAGACCACCCATGGAAGCTGAACAAGGAACAATCACAATCAAGGACCAGAAGACCCTGCTTCAGCACAAGAGTAATAAGTGACTGGAACTCTCTCCCCGTGAAGGTTGTCCTTGCTCCTTCCTTGAGTGTGCGCCATTCAAGTAGCACCAGGATGCCCACTGGGATGGCATCAGATACCAAATTCCTGATTGATCCACGCACTGCTCAATGAGAACGGGACCAGGCCAAGTGGCCAACAAAATTCTTGAATACGTTACGGCACGGTATGACATGCCGTAAAAATTCTGCGAAATGATATGCTGTAACATGATGATGCCAACAGGAATGGATAACACCATTTCTTTTATTCTGTTGTGATAACAGAACACTGCACACTGTTCCAAACAGGTGAGTGGAGCAGGCGAGTATCCCAGGGACCACATGCTAGCTATAACAGGAACTCAGCAGTGTGCAACTCTTCACAACACTTTTCCAAGCCAAGAAACTTGCCCCTAAACAAGAATGTTTCCCGCCAAAACAGCTCCAGAGCCCCTGAAAGTGCCCACCCTAACCTGAACAGCTCCATGAAGCCATTGCTGCCGGAGCAAAGTTCAGGTCAATCATGCCGAAGTAAACTCACCTTGAAGACGCCTGGTTATAAGAAGATGTGTATCTTATCACAACACCAACTTTCTCGCTGATAATGTCGGTTCGGCACAGTCACAGCACATCAAAGACGGCATCCGCCAAAACTAACTGTTTTCTCGAATGAACCGAGGAAAAGTATTCAAAGAGAATCATCGAGATTCGGCCTTGATTCCAATTCTACTTGGGATGATGATTGTCATCGGCCGTGCACCTTCGTATATTTAACAAAAGTGGCCTTGTAAGGTAGGTAAGTAATATTGGTCTAGCCAAAACATTAAAAAATAATTCACTTTTGGCATCCACTAAACACCTCCCATTTCTCCTCCAACCACCACCGCCAAGGCCACGACGACGACAACAGATGAAGTGGCGACGGTAGCAGAAGCCCGGAAAGGACGCGAGTGCTATAAATAAAATATTTTAATTATAAATGGTAATACTCATCAAATTTTGAAGATTATTTTAATTTTTAAATTTCCAATGTAGGATTTATATAATTATTGATGTATGCATTTTTTTGTCTTTTAAAGAATAAAAATAAGTTGGAAATCTTGAGCAAAGTTTTCCTTTCCACTGTACGTATTTTCTCTAATATCTGATCAAATTACGGTCAAAATTTCTTCTAATTTCAATTTGATTTAATGATATTCAAATTTTTCATCTATTTTAATATATTTAAAACTGTAAACCAACTAACCATAGACCTAGTGTATTTAAAAGTGATACTTGGATATTTGGCTTTTTATTTCATATTGTAAATGTTTTCAATTTGGTAGCGTAATATGGTTTCAAAAATAAGAGACAGATTCTGCGAAATAGATTCAAATAAATGATCAATATTCTCCGTGCATACCAAGGCTATATAAACCAGGTAGAACGCTCCGGGAAAAAAGTTGGAAACAATAAATTAGTTGCAGCATTCCCTGATGACGCAAATGTGGGTCAGCGGCCGGCGGCCGGCGGCCGCTAACACTGTATGAGGATGAGTGCACGGAACTTTTGCTTGTTGGTGATTGCGCTAGGCAGTTAAATGTTAATGTTAGGATATGTTTCGAAAGTAAATTGAACGACGCTTCGAACGCCGTCAATGAATTTGCGATGCGACGCGTATTTATTTAGTTAGAGCCGGCGAACTTTTACCGTCCGACCGCGCGGGGAGGCGATATGGTGCCACACTGACGGTTTTTACGATAGCTCAAAATTCTTTTGAGCTAAAGAGCTGAAATTTGACTCGTTCAATCTTTTGATCAAGCTGGATCTTCTGGTACAGGTCGCATATTTAAGGTACGTCACGTTGTTGACCTATGCTGTCGCTCATGAGCCTCTGCACAGTCCAAAAACAATGCAATTTCTGAACACTCGGTGCCAAGAAATCCTTCACAGAAAGATGACACTTGGCAGAAAGAAGAGCTGTCGGTTTCTTATCGTTCGTATGTGTCGTGTTTTCACTTTTCACAAGAGTTTAGTAAGGTCAGGTCCGTCACGTGACCTCCCCTCATAACTCAATAGGTTTACTTTCATAGAAGCGTTTATCAATCGCCGGAAATCTTAGCCAATCCCACTGGACACTGGATCCATACCCACATGGGGCCCTCCTGACTGGCCACTCCCTCTGAAATCCACAATAACGTTGGGCTGCGGCCACGGTTATGTATTAATGCTTTTCACGGACAGAAATACAACAACTTCAACCACCACAGTGCACGCCGCCACAACAGTCCGACCCACGTCCCTGATATCGACTAGCACCCGGCCGGATGCACATACGCGGAGCCAATCAGTCCGAATGTGACCTGAAGCTTACAATTGCTGTGTCGCATGGCGCATGGCACAGGATGATTCCTAGCAGCTGTCGGGTGGAGTGGAGAAACAGCACGTTGCGACACACCGCGCCGGCGACAGAGCTCAGCAGGGCTGGTTTGAGGCTAAAGCCGGAGGTAAGGGCGGACACAGGCACATACATTGCAGGACAAATAACAGGATGTCAGTTAGGGATATGATTCAAGACGGGCTGAAATAATGCACATTCTGCTCACTTAGATTAACCAACTTCAACCTTGACATTTATAGCACCAGGGAAACAATTGGCACACAGGAAAGAAACAAAAGATGAGTTGTTTTTAACTCAAGGAGGTAAAAAGAGGTTGCATATGATGGAACAGCCCGAAGTGCAGCCAAGCACATATTTTTGGTAATAGCTATCAGCTGTCCTACTTCTCTCCTCCCTTCACCAACTACTGGACACATTTGAAGCATCATATTAGCACCAATGTCCATAACAAAAGCTTGCAAGTAGTTTTATGAAGCCAAGGGAAATATGCCTACATCATGCATGTAAGCTCAAAATGCATTACAAAGGAATGGTATCTAAAGAGAATAGTGGGCAAAAGCATTTCATAGTTAAATTATTCAAAACTGCACACAAGGCAAACATAAAAAGCAACAAGTGTAGTGTTCTGTTATGCTTAAAAATAGCCCAAAACAAAATACAATCTTTTCTTGTTTGAATTGGTTGTTCTTCTATGCCACTTCATCCATATCTTGATTACAGATGGGCTGTTACTGTAGGCTGATGAAGTGACACTTGATTGCCTTTGTGCGAGTTTCAGTTGCAGCCTCCTAGGTACTGCACTGGAAAGCAGATTGAATTGAATGCCTCTGAAAGATAGGAATATAGGCAAAGTTAGCTGTAGTAGTGTCAATGATAATAGACGACATTTTTGTCTTTTGACATACATTTGTTGAAGTACAAAAAGGTACAAAATAAATTGGTTTGTTTCAAGACACGCACACTGCACAAAGCCGCACAGACATTACACAAGCACATGAAATTGGTACACATAAAACTTGATGATTAAAAAGGTCAAAACTAGCAACAATAATTAATTGAAGTAAAAGCTACAATCACAATCATTTGATTTAAAATGACTTGACAAAGTCACAAGACGCAACGCTCCTATTCACTTAAGAAAAGTTTTTATGCTTTCATTATCCTCCACATATCAACCAGCTTGATACCAGGCTGTGCAATAGTGGGTACATAACCCCATGTTTCCATTTTATTAGAGCAAGTGGGGTTACAACAACAATGCTGATGTCAAACCCACATCTGCAACCCGTACTGAAGTTTCAATCACCTTACAAGAACACCTTCTGGCAGTTTGATGGGCAGAATGGTCATAACTACTTTCTCCTCATATTCAACACAAATTATCTCTTATACAGATACAGTTAAGACTTTGTTATGGCAAGCATTTTCGAGAAAAGATATGATAAAAGTCCAAGACAAAGGTCGAGAGAAACAACACCAACATAAAACACCGACTATGTTGCACTAATACTATCAAATTCATAAAAATATATACATGAGTCGATCAGAAATTCACTGTAGATTTCGAAAATGGTGTCAAATGCCACTCAAATACCCCCATTCGCATGTACGAAGCAATATAACACTGACCTTCAGTTCCGCGTGCCATTCTCCATAGGCCACTGTGTATTAAATAACGCGTTCACTGATCGCAAAAAAATGAGACCCACATATGACGCGTTTGCTACCAGCCAATCAGCGCTCGAGATGCCGAGCGCTGATTGGTGGAGAGGGCCGTCGTCAGCAGTCCATTACATGTTGTTTTCCTTGAACATATACGTGAGCAGCTGATGTTGCTCACGGGTTGTTTCCATTTTTCGTAATGCTGAAGGCACGGGAGCGAACCCCCCTGGCATACCGTTGTGTGAGTCAAGATTCTTACAGATAGAGGGCCTTGACAGATAGTGTGAGTGGTGTTTTTTGGGTGTTTTTGTTTTGTGAGCAAGATTCTTACAGATAGGTGTCAGTGTGAGCAGTTCAGTGTTTTTATATAGGTACCTTGGCACTTGGCAGTTCTCTATATACCGTTTGTGTGAGTTACCGTCTTTATTAGTTACCGTGCATTTCATCAATAACATTTGTAGGTCTTGGCTTTAATTAATTATCAAGCTGCATCTCAGATTCTATCCTGCATCTGTTGCATATCAACATTTTTTTTTTCATTGGTACTATTAGGTTTATGGGGATAATTAGCGGTGTCATTGATTTTTCGCATCCGTGTCAGTAGGATGATTACCATACATGGGGGTGGAATCTGAAAGCAGGGTGCCTGGGGCGATTTGATCAAGGCTCTCAAATTTGTCACGTGAAAACCCAAATCTTCAGGGCACTTAATCACTGGTGCGCGACGAGCTGATTGAGTTCCTGACCTCCACCGGCCAGCTGTCTAGACACCAACATGGGTTCCGTCCCAGAAGGTCCTGCAGCTCACAGCTTCTCGAGGTGCTGGAGGAATGGACCAACATACTTGAACAAGGTGACTGTTGACGTGGCATACCTGGACTTCCGAAAGGCGTTTGACGCAGTCCCTCACACGCGTCTACTAAAAAACTAAGGTGCTCTAGTATCTCAGGCAATCTTCTTCAGTGGATACAGGCATTCTTATCCGGACGCAAGCAAGAAGTACCTAGTCGTGAACAGAAGCCACTCGGAACCCGCTGCAGTCAGGAGCGGGGTCCCTCAAGGATCAGTCCTGGGGCCCCTCCTGTTCCTGCTGTTTGTGAACGACATCCCCTCGGCCCTCTGTGGTCGACTGCTCGGTGAAGATGTTTGCTGACGACACAAAGCTCTACCGGAAAATACAAAACAGAGTCTCCTCAGAAGCCGCCGAGTTTGAGGGGTTGGCTGTCGCTCCTAGAGCTGCCAGAGACCACCCCACCCAACATACCCAACCGGCGAAGGATGCGCATAGTCGGAACACCGGTGGTGCCCTGCCTGAGGCTGATGCGGAGGGAGAGGTGGCTGTCTCTCCTAACGGAGATGGCAGAGACCACTCTGCCCAACCATCGCCCATGCAGTTGGTGCAAGTCCCAACGGCAACGACATGTCTCCAAGGCGACATCGATGCTCTGGTGGCATGGTCCGACCGCTGGCAGCTCCCATTCAACGAGGGGAAATGCAAAATCCTGTATCTGGGTCGCCACAACCCTCGGATCAAATACACTATTGTAGGAGTCGAATTGCAGGTGGTTAAAGCTGAACGCGATCTTGTTGTCCACGTGGACTCTTCGCTGAAGTTTCGCAAACAGGCTGCTGCTGCTGCGGCCAAGGCCAACCAGATCCTGGGAATCATCAGGCGATCGTTCGAGCTCATCGACAAGTCAACCCTTCCACTGTTTACAAGACACTGGTACGCCCACACTTGGAATTCGGCAATGTGGCGTAGGGCCCGTTCAATCGTGCTGATCAACTGTTAATTGAGCGAGTCCAGAGGAGAGCAACGCGCCTGGTAACCTCAATCAGACACCTTCCCTATGAAGAGCGCCTACAAACACTGAAACTGCCTTCACTGTTCTATCGTCGGCGGCGAGGCGACATGATACAAATGTACCAGCTGTTCCATGGAGGCGTTGATTTGGCTCCTGAAGATTTCTTTACTGCTGCCACGGACGGCCGAACTCGAGGTCACTCGCAGAAGGTCCAAAAGCCCAGAGCCGACACCAGATCAAGGAGGAAATCATTCAGTGTTAGGGTCGTCAATGATTGGAATGGCTTGCCTCAAACGGTCGTGGACGCTGCTTCTATTGAGCAGTTCAAATCAAGACTGGATGCCCACTGGGCAAACATCAGGTACAAGATACCTGATAGGAGTTAGAAAGGTCAAATATGTCAGGAGCTCGATGAGAACGGTTCCCTACAGGCCAAGTGGCCTCTAAATTCCGATCAAATCAAGGTAAGGTACTTAACGGTGGAAAATTTCACGGTAATCACATGATTTATATGCCTTCCAGTGCCCTGTTTTCAGATTCTATCCATACATGCCGACTGTTTCGCTCTACCAATTTTGATTTGAATTGGGGAGAGTGGGGTAAGATGCCCAGGGTGGGAAAGATGCCCCACCCCATCTAGCGGCAAAATAAAGAATCGAATCTGGAAATTAATGTTCTTGGACTAAAGCGGAAGCCTGCCTTGTTACCTGCACAAAAATTTGTGAAGCTCAGTTGGGCAACGGTTGGCAGTTGATTGCATGTCTTTTATTTGCTGCTTTCAAAAAATATTTTGGTGTCAAAACATTGTAAATATTGAAGAAGATAAATAATTTTTAGTCCCTTGCTATGATCGTGATACATCAACATGCGTTTACTGTGTCCCAAACATTTTGTTTCAGGGTGTAGTTTTATGGCTAAGAAATTGTACTGATTAAATGTAAATTAAGTACCTACCTTGGGGAAAGATGCCACCTGCCCTGATGGGGAAAGACGCCCCCCCCCCTTAATCTGTAGGATGTCCTTCAAGCAACCCATTGAATCATTTATTACATACTTGTGATGAGAGACAAAAGCCGATCTGGGACTATTGAGAGTCCAATATGGTCGGGTGCTCCACATGCTGGTCTCTCAGCCCACACAGAGACTTTTTGGGCGGCATCTGACTCTGAGAGCCCTCAGTCATGACGGCCTCTGTGGGCCCCATTATTGGCTCCAAGGCCCCTCACCACATCCTTTGAGGGCTCCCACGCTGGCTCCACGGGCCGTGCTGGCATCTGAGGTCCCCATGATGGGTTTGAGGGCCCTCAAGCATCATGAAGACTTATAAGGACCCGACAACAGTCTTTGAACGCCCCCATGGAGGCTTGTTTGGCCGCGCTGGACTATGATGGCCCTAACGATGACCTCTGAAGCCCCTCACGATTACTTTTGAGGGCCCTTACGAATTACGATGGCGTTTAGTGATCTTCCCCAACGCCAGAGGGAGTCTTTTTCACCCTCTGTGGTAAGATGCCCCCTTTCACTTTTTCAGCAAAATGCTTAACCTGGCAGTTGCAGGGGTATTTCGCCACCTGCCGTTTGCTGGGGGGGGGGGGGGCGTTAAACGCCCCCAGCCGATAACTTGAGAACCAATTGGCGTAGCGAAACGCACGAGGCGCATAGGCGGCGGAACGGGGAGGGCACCGGGGCACCGTGCCCCCCTTTGATTTTGGCATTTTAACATTAGCCCTGTGGGCATTGCAGGGAAAGAATGGGACCAAAAGTCGGTAATGCCCCCCCCCCCTTAATTGAGGGTGTTCCGCCGCTACTGACGAGGCGGCAAACGAAAGAACGCGACGAAAGGCTTCAGATGAGTACTTTAAAGTTGAATTCTGAGGTCACAGGTGGGGTCAAGGTCAGGTCAAACATCTGAAATCGGGCTTTCAGTAGCATGCACTTCAGAACCTCGCAATGGGCGTCTCTCGTCATAAACTCTGTCAAAACGGTGCACAAGCCATCATATAAGGCCTACAACAGTGTCAGACCCATGTAGGGGTCAGTCAAGCATAGGTCAGAGTCAAGGTCAGGTCAACCAGGTAGGCTAATATCCCCGAAAATCAAAACTGATATTCGCAACCTGTGACACATGTTTTATGGGTAATTTTGGGCGTAGAGCACGATGGTGACATTAATTGTATCATATGTGTACGCGTTTGGTTCAAAAAGTTCAATTTAAGAAATGCATGTATGTGCGAGTATATATCATGGTCGTGAAGTAGTCACGAGAAATTGCCAAGATTCAGTTCAAGATTTTGGAAAATGCGGAACGATAATCAAAAATCGAAGATAGCCATTTGATTGTTCATGGTATTGGCAGTCTAATGGCGCTTACGGCATGTCTGTATCTTTATTCTGTGATTTTATATGATTTTTTTTTTTAACATATGCCGTTTTTTGGTCGAAAACTCATAAATCATGACGTTACTTAAACCTTGATATCTCAAAAAAACTTCCGACCGTTTTTGTTGAAACTTTGTCACAATAAACTTCAATCAATTCCCTACAGGTACCCAAATTTTGGCGCGCCTGCGGCTCGCCGTTTTATACAAAGTTTAACGCTCCCCCCCCCCCCCAGCAACTCGCGGATTAATGGCAAAACAAGTTATCACATTTCAGGCACGAGAGTGTGCTATTTTTTGGAGAAAAGTGATGTCGACTTCCATTGAAACTGCAAGTTTTTGCTTTCTGATCGTCATTTTCGAATAATACATGACATTGCCAACCACTGGGCATCTTTCCCCACTCTCCCCTACTAAATATGATCACATCAAAAGTTGAAGGGGAGGGAATGTACCTGGTGCTGGGATTCATTTATGATTGCTCGTTTTTTATAAATTTAGCTTGAGTGTTGGGTGCACTGGCAGAGCCGGAGCCCACGCTAAGCAGAGCTTGTTGTGTAGACCTTGAACCCTACTGTCCGATTGTACAGTTTCAGGTGACCGGAAATTTAGATGCCAAAGTTCAGTGTGCCCCTCAAAGCCAGACAGCCTGTCTCACTCCCTCAGCTGTCTTCAACTAGCTGCTGCTGCTCCCACCAACCGCAGACCATGCCCATCAGAAGTCAAATATCGAGAGCCGGAGCAACTTGAACCCAGTCTCACTAATCACTACTGGAAGTCCGGTGCTCTACCAACTGAGCTACGGGACAGGCTAACGGTTGACAGGCTAAACAGTTGTTATTAATTGTTTTGATTGTTATGCAGGTGCTCTGGACAGCTGCAGAGTGTGGACCATCTAGTCAGGAGTTGGATAACTTCAGCACCCAAATATCAGGTTCTGCAGCCTGTCACACCAACATTTATTAATAGTGCAAAAATTCACTGGCATGAATCTAGCACACTTTAGACATAGCTGATTGTTACCAACAGCAGCTCATGAGAATACAATAGAATGTTGACAGCAACTCAATAGTGTGAACCCATGTAGGCTGTTGACAGCAGCTCAGTAGAGTGGATTCCAGCAGACCCGACTGGGACAGCAACTCAATGGTGTGAACTCCAGTAGGCTGCTGACAGCAGCTCGGTAGAGTGGACTCCAGTAGGCTGTTGACAGCAGCTCAGTAGAGTGGACTCCAGTAGGCTGTTGACAGCAGCTCAGTAGAGTGGACTCCAGTAGGCTCCTGGCAGCATCTCAGTAGACTGGACTCCAGTAGGCTCCTGGTAGCAGCGCCGTTGAGGCTGGTGTATGGCTGAGGCCCACTGTCACGGACCGTCGCTTCCGCTGGGCCCTCTGAGCGGCGCGGAACGTGGCCATGAACTCGGCTTTGGCGGCGGCCACCTCGGGTGTGTCCTGGACGGGCGCCGGTATCACGCCCTGCTGGGCCATCCGGAACGTGGCCATGAACTGGGCCTTGGCGGCGGCCACCTCGGGCGTGTCCTGGACGGGCGCCGGTGCGGGCGCCGCCATCCGCAGCTGGGGGCTGTGCGGCGTATGTGCGCCGGACGACCGCAGGCTGGGCGTGTCGGCCCAGTATTTGACGGTGCGCACCGTGCCCTCGGCGTCGATGTAGCGGTACTGGTTGTCGGTGACGCCGAGCAGGGCGCTCTGCGAGCGCGCCGAGCGGCCGATGCTGTCGGCGAACGTGTGCGGGGAGGTCGCGGCGCGACTCCAGCGCTGCCAGCCGGCCAGCGCGCCGCTCCAGCCGGCCGGCTGGCCGCGCGAGACGGCCGCACACAGCAGCGCCACCTGGCCGACAGCGGGCGGTCAGCGCACGGCCGGTGTAGCCACACAGAGCTACTGTGGCAGTCCAAACAGTTCAGTGACTTGTTAATGCCAATGTCATATGCTACATGCAATTACGGACTCGTTTTAGCTCCGAAGTACCTACCGTTGTTGTGCCACAGTAGATAACGATACTGGTATCTTTGACTTACAAATTCCCCTTTGGTCTGATGTTACCTGAACGTTGCGAGCCGTAGACTTTCTGCCGCTGAGTTTCCTGACTCGGTGATAGCTGGCAGGCCCAGGTAAAGAAGAAAAACATCCACGGGAGCGAGTAGCGACGGAATGGGGTGTCTCAATTTGCAAGTAGTGATGCAAGCAGTGTTAAAAATTGTATTATTTTTAATCGGTTGAAGCTAAGTCTAAATGTTGAATGAATGGTTACGGGCACTGGCGTCAGCTAAGCCAAGCCTGTTGCATATAAACACGGACCCACCAGTCCACACCTTCTCCCGCTGCTGTCTAGCCGGTATGAATACTGACATTACTCCCGAAGGTTTCACATATTGCAAGAGGAGGCGACGCTGGCTGGATGCAGTGTAACCTTTCTCACCAGTTACGAACTATCCTCAGTTACAATTAAGACTTTTGGGCATAATGGGGAAGACATACCTAATTGAATCAAACCGGAATAAGAAGAGTACTGCCTACGCTACGAAGCGTTTTGCGCCACTTACCACGAGGAGCTTCATGTCTGCGCTCTGGTCCGGTGCCCCGCCTGTTGCTGCTGCTGCTGCTGCGGTGGGGACCGCCGCGGTGGATTATATATACCCACCTAGGGGACCAGGCCGGCCGCCGGCGGCGACAGGGCCGTCTGGGCGCGGTCCCGCAGGATCGCGCAGAATTGCACAGGCGCCTCGCAAAAACAGCCCGCCCCAGATGAAGATGGCACCGGCGATACTGCCTGCTCAAGGCCGACGGCTCATCTGGGCCGCGCCTGCCTGTCCCGCTCGGCGGCAGTCGGCTCTGTTTCACCCCGTCAACAACTGGAATATTGGCACTCGCCGGAAAATTAATTAGCCCGCTAATATTCTTTGCAGTGGTGAGATCCATTTTCTCCATCTCATTGTCTCGCCAGGCAGTTCTTCCTCTCCAGGGCTAATATGAATGCTGTTTTGAACCTGAAGTTTTTTAGGGTGGAGGGGGGGGGGGGCTTTTTATGAATCCAAAAGTTTCATACCTATCACTAAATATAGTAAGCGTTAACTACCTTTTTCTTTTTAATTGCTCGTGAGCGACCCCGGTCTGCGAGTTACCTGCCGATTTTGTGGGAGTGGGTTAATGTCACTGATGGGACGTTGATCTCCAATTTCCAAACACCGGTGCACGTGAGCTCGTACTTACATGACCATTGCACAGAGCCTGTTATCCACTGAGCCGCTCCTGTCAACACCGGCATCAATCATTCACCGGTAATCATTACTGTCCCTGTGCTCTGTGCGTTACTGTCCCTGTGATCTGTGCTTTACTGTTTCTGTGAGCTGCTTCAATCTCTGTTACCCCTCAGAATCTCGGAACGTGTCTTTGCACGAGGTCAAAGTTGGAATTTTGCTGTGTCCCATGTTAAGTCAATGGACGGCGATGTCGAGACTTTGCAGAGACATTTTCATTCAATCTTTGTATAAAATTTTAGAGATAGATTTCGCCCAAACTCTTATATCTTGTAGAGGAAAGAGCATAGTACTTGCTGGTATGCTTCGTTAAGGTGGCAAAACTCATTTTTTCTTTTAAAGTTAATTTGAAATTTAAATTTTTTAACATGGAAAGTCAATGGGAGCGTCTTTATTCCTCTATAACTTTTAGCTTTCGTAAGATATATAGGTGAAAAGTTAATATAATATACAACTTTTGATGCTCTTTCCACTGATGCATAGGACGTCACTGCACGATGTGCCGTTTTTAAGAAAAGCTGTAAAAAATCAGGGCTCGACTGTGACTTGAACCCAACCACATTAGAGTATACGAACAGGTGACGGCGATACCTCCCGTGTGCGGATGCGACACTGATTATTGCTAAATATTAGCAGTAGGCCGCCTGTGGGGTGCCTTTACAAACCTTATATCTCTGCAACCACTGGACCGATTCACTCGCGGTCTTTTGTGTGGGATAGCTTCTTCCTTTCTTACACGTAATGTGCTGTTCTCGATGCGTATGGGTGACCCCTAATGCACGTGCCACGTGCAAAACGAAGAGGTGTCAGTTCGGTAACAAGTCTAATAACTCTGTAGTTAGTTTGCCGTTTGCGCTGATACTTGGCATGGTTGTAGGCACCTGCCGCGCAATGCATTTCCATGTGTCACGGTTGGGGTGCCGCTGCACGTGCACACGGGCAGGGTGACGCTTCCAGATCTCGAGAACGGCTGGGCCGATTGTGATCAAAGTTGGCACACCGCTAGAGGCTGGTAAGTAGGGTGCCGTGCACAAGTCAGATGGGACCCGTTGTGCACGTGCGCACGTGCAGGCTGACGCTTCCAGATCTCAAGAACGGCTGGGCCGACTGTGCTCAAATTTGGCATACCGCTAGAAACTGGTTAGTAGGGTGCCGTGCACAAGTCAGTTAGTATGTATTTTCATGTGCCACGGTTTGGGTGCAGCTGCACGAGCGCACGTGTAGGGGTCGCTTCCAGATCTTGAAATTGACGGGGCCGATCGAGCTCCAATTTGGTACACCACTAGAAACCGGCGAATAGAGTGCCGTGCACAAGTCAATTGGGGCCTAAGCTGCACGTGCGCACGTGCAGGGTGTCGCTTCCAGATCTCGAAAACGGCCGGGTCGATTGCACTCAAATTTGGCACACCGCTATAGACCGACGAATAGGGTGCCGTGCACGTCAGTCCGTAGTAACCGCAGGTTGTTTGAAAAGACAAACACTATTCGTTAGAATTGTGTTTTTCTATTGAAAAACAACCGGAGCGGTCGTTGTCCGGGCTATGTTTTGCAAGTCTGGCAGCGAATCAGTACAACTTGATTGGGGCCTAGACGAAATGTACAATCTTCGTAAAAAGTTCAGGGTATGGGCTCCCGGAGGCGATCTACCTGATGGCAACGGTCGCTACTCGCTTAAAACCTCGTGGCACGTGGCACGTGCGATTCCATTTTCCCCGTGTTAAGTCAATGGGGTTTTGGACAGTTTTTGTGCGATCGCCAATAGCGGGAAAACGAGCCAAGGAAGAGGTTGTTTTCTTCCCAGCATTTTATGGCAAACACGTTTGGGTACACGCCAGTGTGCGCTGTATACCCCTCAGAATCTCGGAACGTGTCTTTGCACGAGGTCAAAGTTGGAATTTTGCTGTGTCCCATGTTAAGTCAATGGACGGCGATGTCGAGACTTTGCAGAGACATTTTCATTCGATCTTTGTACAAAATTTTAGAGATAGATTTCGCCCAAACTCTTATATCTTGTAGAGGAAAGAGCATAGTACTTGCTGGTATGCTTCGTTAAGGTGGCAAAACTCATTTTTTCTTTTAAAGTTAATTTGAAATTTAAATTTTTTAACATGGAAAGTCAATGGGAGCGTCTTTATTCCTCTATAACTTTTAGCTTTAGTAAGATATATAGGTGAAAAGTTAATATAATATACAACTTTTGATGCTCTTTCCACTGATGCATAGGACGTCACTGCACGATGTGCCGTTTTTAAGAAAAGCTGTAAAAAATCAGGGCTCGACTGTGACTTGAACCCAACCACATTAGAGTATACGAACAGGTGACGGCGATACCTCCCGTGTGCGGATGCGACACTGATTATTGCTAAATATTAGCAGTAGGCCGCCTGTGGGGTGCCTTTACACACCTTATATCTCTGCAACCACTGGACCGATTCACTCGCGGTCTTTTGTGTGGGATAGCTTCTTCCTTTCTTACACGTAGTGTGCTGTTTTCGATGCGTATGGGTGACCCCTAATGCACGTGCCACGTGCAAAACGAAGAGGTGTCAGTTCGGTAACAAGTCTAATAGCTCTGTAGTTAGTTTGCCGATTGCGCTGATACTTGGCATGGTTGTAGGCACCTGCCGCGCAATGCATTTCCATGTGTCACGGTTGGGGTGCCGCTGCACGTGCACACGGGCAGGGTGACGCTTCCAGATCTCGAGAACGGCTGGGCCGATTGTGATCAAAGTTGGCACACCGCTAGAGGCTGGTAAGTAGGGTGCCGTGCACAAGTCAGATGGGACCCGTTATGCACGTGCGCACGTGCAGGCTGACGCTTCCAGATCTCAAGAACGGCTGGGCCGACTGTGCTCAAATTTGGTATACCGCTAGAGACTGGTTAGTAGGGTGCCGTGCACAAGTCAGTTAGTATGTATTTTCATGTGCCACAGTTGGGGTGCAGCTCCACGAGCGCACGTGTAGGGGTCGCTTCCAGATCTTAAAATTGACGGGGCCGATTGAGCTCCAATTTGTATGGGTGACCCCTAATGGTAGTGCCACGTGTAACCGCAGGTTGTTTGAAAAGACAAACACTATTCGTTAGAATTGTGTTTTTCTATTGAAAAACAACCGGAGCGGTCCGTCTCCGGGCTATGTTTTGCAAGTCTGGCAGCGAATCAGTACAACTTGAGCGGGGCCTAGACGAATCGCTCAATCTTCGTAAAAATTTCAGTGTATGGGCTCCCGCAGGCGATCTACCTTATGACACCGGTCGCTACTCGCTAAGAAGTCTTTTGCGCGTGGCACGTGCGATTCCATTTTCCCCATGTTAAGTCAACGGGGTTTTGGACACTTTTTGCGCGATCGCAAATGGCGGGAAAACGAGCCAAGGAAGAGGTGGTTTTCTTCCGAACATTTTATGGCAAACACGTTCCGGTACACGTCAGTGTGCGCTGTATACCCCTCAGAATCTCGGAACGTGTCTTTGCACGAGGTCAAAGTTGGAATTTTGCTGTGTCCCATGTTAAGTCAATGGACGGCGATGTCGAGACTTTGCAGAGACATTTTCATTCGATCTTTGTACAAAATTTTAGAGATAGATTTCGCCCAAACTCTTATATCTTGTAGTGAAAAGAGCATAGTACTTGCTGGTATGCTTCGTTAAGGTGGCAAAACTCATTTTTTCTTTTAAAGTTAATTTGAAATTTAAATTTTTTTACATGGAAAGTCAATGAGCGCGTCTTTATTCCTCTATAACTTTTATCGTTAGTAATATATATAGGTGAAAAGTTGATATAATATACGACTTTCGATGCTCTTTCCAACGATGTATAGCACGTCACTGCACGATGTGCCGTTTTCAAGAAAAGTTGTAAAAAAGCAGGGCTCGACTGTGACTTGAACCCAACCACATTAGAGTATACGAACAGGTGACGGCGATACCTCCCGTGTGCGGATGCGACACTGATTATTGCTAAATATTAGCAGTAGGCCGCCTGTGGGATGCCTTTACAAACCTTATATCTCTGCAACCACTGGACCGATTCACTCGCGGTCTTTTGTGTGGGATAGCTTCTTCCTTTCTTACACGTAGTGTGCTGTTCTCGATGCGTATGGGTGACCCCTAATGCACGTGCTACGTGCAAAACGAAGAGGTGTCAGTTCGGTAACAAGTCTAATAATAACTCTGTAGTTAGTTTGCCGATTGCGCTGATACTTGGCATGGTTGTAGGCACCTGCCGCGCAATGCATTTCCATGTGTCACGGTTGGGGTGCCGCTGCACGTGCACACGGGCAGGGTGACGCTTCCAGATCACGAGAACGGCTGGGCCGATTGTGATCAAAGTTGGCACACCGCTAGAGGCTGGTAAGTAGGGTGCCGTGCACAAGTCAGATGGGACCCGTTATGCACGTGCGCACGTGCAGGCTGACGCTTCCAGATCTCGAGAACGGCTGGGCCGACTGTGCTCAAATTTGGTATACCGCTAGAGACTGGTTAGTAGGGTGCCGTGCACAAGTCAGTTAGTATGTATTTTCATGTGCCACGGTTGGGGTGCAGCTCCACGAGCGCACGTGTAGGGGTCGCTTCCAGATCTTGAAATTGACGGGGCCGATTGAGCTCCAATTTGGTACACCACTACAAACCGGCGAATAGAGTGCCGTGCACAAGTCAATTGGGGCCTAGGCTGCACGTGCGCACGTGCAGGGTGTCGCTTCCAGATCTCGAAAACGGCCGGGTCGATTGCACTCAAATTTGGCACACCGCTATAGACCGACGAATAGGGTGCCGTGCACGTCAGTCCGTAGCACACCGACTCCGGTCTGCACGTGCAAGGCTCATCCTCTCGTTTGGTGGCGGGCGTTTTTGCTGCGTTTACAAAGGTGCTTGCTCAAACAACCTGCGGTCCCGCGATGTAACCGCAGGTTGTTTGAAAAGACAAACACTATTCGTTAGAATTGTGTTTTTCTATTGAAAAACAACCGGAGCGGTCCTTCTCCGGGCTATGTTTTGCAAGTCTGGCCGCGAATTGGGGCAACTTGGGTGGGGCCTAGACGAAATGTACAATCGTCGTAAAAAGTTCAGTGTATGGGCTCCCGGAGGCGATCTACCTGATGGCAACGGTCGCTACTCGCTTAAAACCTCGTGGCACGTGGCACGTGCGATTCCATTTTCCCCGTGTTAAGTCAACGGGGTTTTGGACACTTTTTGCGCGATCGCCAATAGCGGGAAAACTAGCCAAGAAGGAGGTGGTTTTCTTCCCAGCATTTTATGGCAAACACGTTCAGGTACACGCTAGCGTGCGCTGTATACCCCTCAGAATCTCGGAACGTGTCTTTGCACGAGGTCAAAGTTGGAATTTTGCTGTGTCCCATGCTAAGTCAATGGACGGCGATGTCGAGACTTTGCAGAGACATTTTCATTCGATCTTTGTACAAAATTTTAGAGATAGATTTCGCCCAAACTCTTATATCTTGTAGAGGAAAGAGCATAGTACTTGCTGGTATGCTTCGTTAAGCTGGCAAAACTCATTTTTTCTTTTTAAGTTAATTTGAAATTTAAATTTTTTAACATGGAAAGTCAATGGGAGCGTCTTTATTTCTCTATAACTTTTATCGTTAGTAATATATATAGGTGAAAAGTTAATATAATATGCAACTTTTGATGCTCTTTCCACTGATGCATAGGACGTCACTGCACGATGTGCCGTTTTTAAGAAAAGCTGTAAAAAATCAGGGCTCGACTGTGACTTGAACCCAACCACATTAGAGTATACGAACAGGTGACGGCGATACCTCCCGTGTGCGGATGCGACACTGATCATTGGTAAATATTAGCAGTAGGCCGCCTGTGGGGTGCCTTTACAAACCTTATATCTCCACAACTACTTGACCAATTCACTCGCGGTCTTTTGTGTGGGATAGCTTCTTCCTTTCTTACACGTAGTGTGCTGTTCTCGATGCGTATGGGTGACACCATAATGCACGTGCCACGTGCAAAACGAAGAGGTGTCAGTTCGGTAACAAGTCTAATAACTCTGTAGTTAGTTTGCCGATTGCGCTGATACTTGGCATGGTTGTAGGCACCTGCCGCGCAATGCATTTCCATGTGTCACGGTTGGGGTGCCGCTGCACGTGCACACGGGCAGGGTGACGCTTCCAGATCTTAACCGCAGGTTGTTTGAAAAGACAAACACTATTCGTTAGAATTGTGTTTTTCTATTGAAAAACAACCGGAGCGGTCGTTGTCCGGGGTATGTTTTGCAAAGTTGGCCTGAGATTGGGGCAACTTGACGGGGGCCTAGACGAATCGCTCAATTTCCGTAAAAAGTTCAGAGTATGGGCTCCCGGAGGCGATCTACCTGATGGCATCGGTCGCTACTCGCTAAAAAGTCTTTTGCGCGTGGCACGTGCGATTCCATTTTCCCCATGTTAAGTCAATGGGGTTTTGGACACTTTTTGCGCGATCGCGAATGGCGGGAAAACGAGCCAAGGAAGAGGTGGTTTTCTTCCGAGCATTTTATGGCAAACACGTTCCGGTACACGCCAGTGTGCGCTGTATACCCGTCAGAATCTCGGAACGTGTCTTTGCACGAGGTCAAAGTTGGAATTTTGCTGTGTCCCATGTTAAGTCAATGGACGGCGATGTCGAGCCTTTGCAGAGACATTTTCATTCGATCTTTGTACAAAATTTTAGAGATAGATTTCGCCCAAACTCTTATATCTTGTAGAGGAAAGAGCATAGTACATGCTGGTATGCTTCGCTAAGCTGGCAGAAATCGTTTTTTCTTATAAAGTTAATTTGAAATTTTAAATTTTTAACATGGAAAGTCAATGGGAGCGTCTTTGTTGCTTAATAACTTTTTACGTTGCAGATATACCAAAGTGAAAAGTTAATAAAATATACAACTTTCGATGCTCTTTCCAACAATGTATAGAACGTCACTGCACGATGTGCCGTTTTTAAGAAAAGCTGTAAAAAAGCAGGGCTCGACTGTGACTTGAACCCAACCACATTAGAGTATACGAACAGGTGACGGCGATACCTCCCGTGTGCGGATGCGACACTGATTATTTGCTAAATATTAACAGTAGGCCGCCTGTGGGATGCCTTTACAAACCTTATATCTCTGCAACCACTGGACCGATTCACTCGCGGTCTTTTGTGTGGGATAGCTTCTTCCTTTCTTACACGTAGTGTGCTGTTCTTGATGCGTATGGGTGACCCCTAATGCGCGTGCCACGTGCAAAACGAAGAGGTGTCAGTTAGGTAACAAGTCTAATAACTCTGTAGTTAGTTTGCCGATTGCGCTGATACTTGGCATGGTTGTAGGCACCTGCCGCGCAATGCATTTCCATGTGTCGCGGTTGGGGTGCCGCTGCACGTGCACACGTGCAGGGTGACGCTTCCAGATCTCGAGAACGGCTGGGCCGATTGTGATCAAAGTTGGCACACCGTTAGGGATCGGCGAGCAAAGTGCCGTACACAAATCGGATGGCACTCATCTTGCACGTGCGCACGTGCAGGGTGACGCTTCCAGATCTCGAGAACGGCCGGGCCGACTGTGCTCAAATTTGGAATACCACTAGAGACTGGTTAGTAGGGTGCCGTGCACAAGTCAGTAAGTATGTATTTTCATGTGCCGCGGTTGGGGTGCAGCTGCACGTGCACACGTGCAGGGTGACGCCTCCAGATCTCGAGAACGGCCGGACCGATTGTAGCCGAACTTAGCACACCGCCAGAGATCGGTAAGTAGGTTGCCGTGGAAAAGTCAGATGGGACCCATTTTGCACGTGCGCACGTGCAGGGTGTCGCTTCCAGATCTCGAAAACGGCCGGGTCGATTGCACTCAAATTTGGCACACCGCTGTAGACCGACGAATAGGGTGCCGTGCACGTCAGTCCGTAGCACACCGACTCCGGTCTGCACGTGCAAGGCTCATCCTCTCGTTTGGTGGCGGGCGTTTTTGCTGCGTTTACAAAGGTGCTTGCTCAAACAACCTGCGGTCCCGCGATGCGGAGCCCGGCATCGCAGATGCCGGGTACTGTTTCTGTGAGCTGCTTCAATCTCTGTTAACTATGCGGCTGTGTCTCAGACGGCACTGTATGACTGTGTTTCAGGCGGCGCCCGGACCGGCCGTGTCTCAGGTGTGCGGCTGTGTTTCAGGCAGCGCTGTGCTGCTGTGTTTCAGGCGGTGTTATATGGCTGTGTTTCAGGCGGCGCTGTGCTGCTGTGTTTCAGGCGGTGTTATATGGCTGTGTTTCAGGCGGCGCTGTGCGGCTGTGTTTCAGGCGGTGTTGTGCGGTTGTGTCTCAGGCGGCGCCCGGACCGGCCATGTCTCAGGCGGCGCTATATGACTGTGTTTCAGGCGGCGCTGTGCTGCTGTGTTTCAGGCGGCGCTGTGCGGCCGTGTCTCAGGCGGCGCCCGGAGCGGCTCGGCCGGCCATGCAGGTGCAGTGGCACACGGCCGGCCTGCTGGCCACGGTGGCCGTGTTCGCCGGCACGGCCACGCTCGTGTTCCACCACGTGTACCGCCTCCAGCCGACGCCCTTCATCGACGAGGCGTTCCACGTGCCGCAGTGCCAGCGCTACTGCGCCGGAAACTTCACCCAGGTCAGCCGGCTGGCAGCGCGGCGGCAGACGCGCGAGGCACTAAGGGAAGCAGACCCTTTTCAAACTGCAGTTTGTCCGCTCCCCGACGGTCTTTTTATAGACAAAACCCTGAGTGTAGCTATCAATGTAATTCCCCCGGCACCGACAGAGCCCAATGGATCAGCCCGTCTCGGTGGCTGCTGCTGGCGGCTCGCTATATCAGTGGCTTAGCGTCTGTTTCGGTCTCAGAAATGTGTAAAACACACACCCAATTTTAGTGCTTATTTTTCCGTCGTTGCATACGTAGGAACGTAAAAAGTACATTATCCTTGCGTTTTTTATAGAGAAAATTGGGCACGAGATAACGGCATTCGTAATTTGAAGGGACGGGCGAACGATCTTCAATCAGCGACTGGCCCGATGACGGTGAACAAGTGACTGACCCGGTGACTGACCCGGTGACGGTGAGCAAGTGACTGACCCGGTGACTGACCCGGTGACGGTGAACAAGTGACTGACCCGGTGACTGACCCGGTGACGGTGAGCAAGTGACTGACCCGGTGACTGACCCGGTGACGGTGAACAAGTGACTGACCCGGTGACAGACCCGGTGGGCGGTGACAGACCCAGTGACTGACCCGGTGACGGACGTTGGACCGGTGACAGACCCAGTGGCAGACCCAGTGGCTGACCCGGTGACAGACCCGGTGACAGACGTTGGACCGGTGACAGACCCAGTGGCTGACCGTCTGTGTGCCGCAGTGGGATGACAAGATCACCACGCTGCCGGGCCTGTACCTGCTGTCGGTTGGTGTGCTCGGCTACACGTCCGGTCTACAGCGGCCCGCGTGCTCGCTCTACCTTCTGCGCCTGGTGAACCTGCTATTCTCAGTCGGCACGCTGATCACCCTCTATAGCATCCTGAAGGTGCTCAACGCCGAGCAGGTGAGGTGCCGCTGACAGTCTCCGCCCCGCGCCGCCACTCTGCCCAGTCTGCGGCTGGAAACATCTGCATACGGGTCAAACATCTCCCGGTTTCAAGGAAACGCTCCTATTACGGTGAAAATATATTGCTCTGTACCCAAGCCCTTGTGTTGTGGCTGCGGGTATGCTGGAATCTCATGACCCACCCAGCGATGTCTAATCGAGCCTCGATCAGCTGGTCTAAGCGTTTGTATTGAATTTGATATGAAGATGCGCTCATTCCGATGCTCCTTGGCCTTGGTGCGGCGATTGGTGTGTATGGGTTCACTACTTCTGTCGCCGCCGTGGCGGGCCGGTGGCGGGGGTGGGCGCTCTCCCCTATATCAGCTGCGGTTCGATGACGGAAGGGGTGGAAATTCTCCCCGATATCAGCTGCAGGCCGGTGACGTGTATCAGGAGCGGGTCGGTGACGAGGGTGGGCGCTCTCCCCGATATCAGCTGCAGGCCGGTGACGGGAGTGGTCTCCCTGTATCAGATCCGAGCCGGGACGGCAGTGGTCTCCCTGTATCAGATCCGAGCCGGGACGGGAGTGGTGTCCCTGTATCAGGAGCGGGCCGGGACGGGAGTGGTCTCCCTGTATCAGATCCGAGCCGGGACGGGAGTGGTCTCCCTGTATCAGATCCGAGCCGGGACGGGAGTGGTGTCCCTGTATCAGATCCGAGCCGGGACGGGAGTGGTGTCCCTGTATCAGATCCGAGCCGGGACGGGAGTGGTCTCCCTGTATCAGGAGCGGGCCGGGACAGGAGTGGTCTCCCTGTATCAGGAGCGGGCCGGGACGGGAGTGGTCTCCCTGTATCAGCTGCGGGCCGAGACGGGAGTGGTCTCCCTGTATCAGGAGCGGGCCGGGACAGGAGTGGTCTCCCTGTATCAGCTGCGGGCCGGGACGGGAGTGGTCTCCCTGTATCAGGAGCGGGCCGGGACAGGAGTGGTCTCCCTGTATCAGCTGCGGGCCGGGACGGGAGTGGTCTCCCTGTATCAGGAGCGGGCCGGGACGGGAGTGGTCTCCCTGTATCAGATCCGAGCCGGGACGGGAGTGGTCTCCCTGTATCAGATCCGAGCCGGGACGGGAGTGGTCTCCCTGTATCAGATCCGAGCCGGGACGGGAGTGGTCTCCCCGATATCAGCTGCGGGCCGGTGACGGGAATGGTCTCCCTGTATCAGATCCGAGCCGGGACGGGAGTGGTCTCCCCTGTATCAGGAGGGGGTCGGTGACGCTGCTTTGTGCCGTTCCAGGAGCGGCGCGAGTGGCGTCACCTAGTGGCGGCGCTCTCGCTGGCCTCGTTCCCGGTGCTGTACACGTTCTCGTTCCTCTACTACACGGACATGGCGTCCACGCTACTGGTGCTGCTGATGTACTCGCTGCACCTGCACCGGCAGCCAGGCGCGGCCGCCGCCATCGGTCAGTCAGACAGTCAGTCAGTCAGTCAGTCAGTTACAGTCAGTCAGTCAGTCAGTCAGTCAGTCAGAGACAGACAGTAGACAGATACTCAGTCAGTCAGTCAGTCAGTCAGTCAGTCAGTCAGTCAGTCAGTCAGTCAGTCAGTCAGTCAGTCAGTCAGTCAGTCAGTCAGTTACAGTCAGTCAGTCAGTCAGTCAGTCAGTCAGTCAGTCAGTCAGTCAGTCAGTCAGTCAGTCAGTCAGTCAGTCAGTCAGTCAGTCAGTCAGTCAGTCAGCCAGCCAGACATGCAGGCAGGCACTCAGTCAGTCAGTCAGTCAGTCAGTCAGGCAGGCAGGCAGGCAGGCAGGCAGGCAGGCAGGCAGGCAGGCAGGCAGGCAGGCAGCCAGGCAGTCAGTCAGTCAGTCAGTCAGTCAGTCAGTCAGTCAGTCAGTCAGTCAGTCAGTCAGTCAGTCAGTCAGTCAGTCAGTCAGTCAGTCAGTCAGTCAGTCAGTCAGTCAGTCAGTCAGTCAGTCAGTCAGTCAGGTCAGTCAGTCAGTCAGTCAGTCAGTCAGTCAGTCAGTCAGTCAGGCAGGCAGGCAGCCAGGCAGTCAGTCAGTCAGTCAGTCAGTCAGTCAGTCAGTCAGTCAGAGACAGACAGTAGACAGATGCTCAGTCAGTCAGACAGTCAGACAGTCGGTCAGACGCACAGACGTCCCTGCGTGTGACTGGTGACTCTCCTGCACTCTGGCTGCTGACCTAATCATCTGACTGCTGACTGTAGTGCTGACCCTCTCATCGCCTAACTGCCGACCCTTTTGCAATGTAACTGACTTCTGATCCTCTTATCGTGTAACGGCTGACTCGTCGATATCGTCTGACTGTTGCCTCATGATACGAACTGAACTGACGCTTATGATACTTAACTTTTCGTACGTTTACGTAAATTGAGTACCGTATTTCATGAATAAGATGATTGCGCGTCTTTGTCAGTAAATCGGTCACAGTGTTGACGCTGCCTGTGACGGCTGCCCGCCGCCCGCCGCCCGGTCTGTTGCAGGCGCCGTTTCGGTGCTGGTCCGGCAGAGCAATGTCATCTGGGTGGCGGTGGTGGGCGCGTTCGCCTGCACGGACGCCATGGTGGCGGCGCTGACGGCGGCCCGGTCGGCTCCGCGCCGGCGGCCCGTCGACCCGAGCTCCCCCAGAATCGTCCGGGTGAGCAGTCAGTCAGCCGCCAGCCGTCAGCCGCGGGGACCGGCTGCATGTTCCGCTTCCTTAGTACAGTATGCAGTAAAATAGTAGGATGGTAGGATTTAGTACGTAGGATACCCTGTGATTCGCAATATGAACACATTTGTTACTGCTGGCTGTATAGTCGACTACAGAAAGTGAAATTATCACGCAATTAAGCGTGCCGATTGTGAGCATTGGGACAAAGCTATAATTCGTGAACTCAGCCCGTGTGATGCGGCACAGCCTACCACTCCAGGCAAATAATTGCCCGTGAAAAGTGGAACATCATTCTGTAGTCGACTATACATACATTGGAAATTTTATCTATTTTGTATCTTTTCGCTGGTTGTTATTAGTTCTGAAGCCCAGTGGGGCTCGCTGACCTGTGGGTGAGATGTGGTGTTTGTGTCTGCCCCTTGCGCACTGCCGCCTCTGTGGGCCCCTGGCGCCGTCCCCTGGCGCCCCGCTCTGTCCCCTGGCGCTCCTCTATCTCCCCTGACGTCCCGCTCCGTCCGTCTGTCCGCCGGCCAGGAGGTGTTGCACTTCTACTGGTCGCAGGCGCGCCACGACCCGCTGGCGCTGGCCGAGGCGCTCACCGATGTGGTATACGAGGGCGTGCAGTACGGCGCCGTGTGCGCCGCGTTCGTCGCATTTGTGGCGTGGAACGGCGCGCTGGTGGTGGGCGACCGGTCGGCGCACGAGGCGGTGCTCAACGCGCCGCAGCTGCTCTACTTCCTGGCCACGTCGTCCGTGTGGCTGGCGCCGCTCATGGTCGAGTCCGCCCGGCAGGTCAGAGGGGACACGGGGGTCAGATCACCGGGTCCGAGGTCACAGCTGAGAGATCATAGTCACGTCAGGTCACAGGGGGGACTGTAACTGGAGGTCAGGTCACCAGTTACAAGGGGTCGGTTCCAGTCGCATTTCCTAACACCTCTAAACTCCTTCAAGATTGCTTCCCTGTTCCAATGGCAGCTCTAGCCCCTACAAAGCCAAGGAGGGCCCTGCTCCCTCCTCTGTCTTGCTCTTGGAGGAGTTTAGAGGTGTTAGGAAGTGCGACTGGTACAGACCGAAGGTCACACAGAGCCGGTCAGACCGCTGAGTACGTAAAGGGGTTACGCCCCGGGACCGTGATTTATAAGTTAGGCGACCGATAGTGGAAGTCACCAGCTGTAAGCTGCCATCGGGAGTGCGTAGGGTCATAGAAGTGGGATGGACCAGGTCACCGATGGTGTGTAACCACCAGGTGTCCCTGGACAGGTGACCAGGTGCCGAGTGTGCTCAGTAACCAGTAGTGTGAGCTGACCACTGCGGGCGGGCCGGTGAGCCGCGGAGGCCGGCCGACTGACGGTGCCGGCGCCCCGTCCCGTCTCTCTCGCCGTCAGATGTTGGCGACTGTGCGCGCCCGGCCGGCGCTGTGGGCCGCGCTGGCCGCCGGCCTGGCGCTGCTGCTACAGTCGGCCGGCGCGCCGCACCCCTACCTGCTGGCCGACAACCGGCACGTGGCGTTCTACGCGTGGCGCCGCTGGCTGGGCCACCGGACGCTGCGGCTGACGCTGGTGCCCGTGTCGGCGGCCACGCTGGCGCTGCTGGCGGCCGGCGGCGCCCGGCGCCCGCTGCTGCAGCGCGCCGCGCTGGCGGCCGGCACGGCGCTGGTGCTGGTGCCGCAGCGGCTGCTCGAGTTCCGCTACTTCATCGTGCCGTTCCTGCTGTGGCGGCTGCAGCTGCGGCCGCCCGGCAGCGCCGCCCTGCTCGCCGAGTGCGCCCTGTACGCCGCCGTCAACGCCGCCGTCCTCTACCTGTTCACCGTGAAAACGTTCACCTGGGACGACCAGCCGGGGGTGCAGCGAATCATATGGTGACCAGCGGGGGTGCAGAGAGTCATATGGTAACCGGACGGGGTGCAGAGGGTCCTCTGGTGACCGGACGGGGTGCAGAGGGTCATTGGTGACCGGACGGACGGGGTGCAGAGGGTCATTGGTGACCGGACGGACGGAGGACAGTGTTCCCAGTGAACTCCAGTGCGCCGTGTCTCAGGTTACTCGGTCCGCCGTTCACTGGTGCAGTCAGTAGGAGCGGCTTCTGATGTGCCGCAGCGCGGTCGGTCCTTGCCTTTGGTCATGTGCGCTCTAATTGTGCGCTCTAATTCCAATAAGTGGGACATTACCACAGGGATAATGAACTGGGGCACTGACGTAAGACCAGAGAGACGTCCCCACACGAACGTTTCCATTGGGGACTTCGTAAGTTATACGACGCATTGAGGGTGCATGTGGTGTCATTGATGAAGTTGTTCCTTTCATCATGCATTAGATGGTCAGCAGAGCAGGGAAAAGATGAACGATTTGTTTATCTTTTTCTTTTTATTTTGTTGTTTGCGTGTTTATACTGATTTTTACAGACGTGGCGTGTGCGTGTTGTTAAGGAAAAATAATCAATAAAATATGGGTCAAATGCCTTCTTTACCTGGGCACATTTTGATGATGGGTGCGTTGCAGCGTCCCTTTGTTGGCTCTCTGAGTGGCTCGAGGGGTGAAGGGTGTGACAAAGGTGAAATATATTGAAACATATAATGCATTTTCTTTAGATGTAATGATGAGGCACTTTTATATTTTTCAGGGGTTGAGAATAATGAATAATTTATACAAGATATCTGGAAAGATATCTGATCTCCATTTCAGATGCTGGGATGTAGCCTGGTTATTGATGAATTCGATCCCCCCGTTTCCGGGCCAGTTTCGCCAAGTCACCACCGTTCTGGTCTGAGCTGTGCGCTGGACGGACGACCATAGACTGGGGAGTCCAGACTAGGTAGAGGGCGGATGACGGAAGACTTCGCCTGGGGAGTTCAGTCTAGAGTTCAGACTGGCGGGCGGACGACAATAGACTGGAGACTTCAGACTGGCGGGCGGACGACCGTAGACTGGGGAGTTCAGACTAGTGGGCGGACGACCGTATAAGGAGTTCAGATCTTAGCCCGCGGGAACATCACCAACTCCGTCAGACTGTGTGGCGGACCGATCACCTGCACTCGACTGTAACTACGCACCTAAGGCAATAATGTAGACTTTTGCAGTAGCATGCGACGCTGAAATTGGGAGGCAAAAGGACGGCAAGTTGATTGCACCAACATTTATTTCCTCATAAAACAAATGAGTAGCAAATTACAACATGCACGATCAAACAGTACCCGAATCTAATACCACAAAAATTACATAGATTGGTTAGTGCTAGTCCTATACAAGACTGGTATCTCAGTTTCACGCCTCCGACATTCTTGGTCCCTCGAGAAGGCACACACAGACACGCACACGCACATTGGCACGAGACTGGCAAGACCATGAGTATTCGTGGGCACTGCCACCTGGGCAGCGAGCGGGAAAACAAAACCTCCACCAGGAGCTTCGTACAGCGATAGATTTGGCCGTGCACGTGCTATTTGGCACACTTTTGTAGACGGTGAATTTCGGGGGCCGGCCGCCGGAGCCCGTACAGATCACCGGCGCGTCCGGCACACTATCGAGGTCTAAATAAATGTGTCGCTCACCTCCTCAAACCCAGGTAACCGGCGGCAGTGCAAACAATCGGCAGGGCCACAACACCGAAACACCGGCCAGGCGGCGGTCCCACGACACAGAACACCCCAGTTAGGCGGATACATACTCAGCACGAATATTGCACATAACGCTCTGACTTCGGAGACGAGCTGAATTCATTACAATCGAATAAACAACCACCTCAACTCAAAATATTCCGAATACTCAAATCTGGCCGGGTTTGACAGTGGTGCGCGAGTGAAGCGACTGGTGGTGCGTACTTTGTAGCTAAATTGTTAGGGAGGTTTCGATAGACCGAGAACCCAGAGAATTGTGCTATGGACGCTGAGGCGAGACGCCGTCTATGGCAAACCAGGGGCGCTGCTGAGCAGCCGCGTGGCGGGCTGCCGTTCCGTACTGACCGACGACATACTGGCACGGATAGCTGCCCGACTCACAACCTTCGAACCCACAGCGCACCATCGGAATGCTCTGCTTCAGCCGCTGCACCAAAAATCACCAAACCGAAAAATCAGAGTAAGACAGACCACAGCTCCCAAAAGTCGCGAGGGTAGAGACCACACCACAGAGGGGAGGGGGGAGGGGGTTATCCTGCCGGCAGCACGGGACGCTCCCCGCCGGACCGCGCCGCCGTCCGCAGCCGTCCGGAGCCGGCTCAGTCGGCGTTGACCAGCTCGGTCTTGCTATCCTTGGTAATGAGCTGCACCAGACTGCCGGTCTTGGGCCGCTCGTCGCCCTCGGCCCACTTCCCGAACAGCCTGCCGACGAGCCGCGCCGGCGGGCGTCAGCGAAACGCCGCGGATGGAAACAGGGAGCTCACCAACAGACCGGGAACAGAGGGGGAGCTCCCCAACAGACCGGGAAATACATAGAGAGGTAGCATACCAACAGACAGGAGAATAGACAAATATCGGCTATCGGTCACAACTAATTGGCTACATCAGCATCAGAAGAGAACTCACTGACTGTAATTAGTTACTTCCTCATCTCCCCACGCTAACTACAAGACTGAGAACTCACCATAACACAGACTACATAGACAGAGAACTCACCATAACACCGAGTACCGACTACATAGACTGAGAACTCACCATAACACCGACTACATAGACAGAGAACTCACCCGGCCACATACTCCATGGCAGTCCAGGTGGTGTGTTGGGCGGATAACTAACTCACCCGGCCACATACTCCATCGGACTCCAGGTGGTGTGTTGGGCGGATAACTAACTCACCCGGCCACATACTCCATCGGACTCCAGGTGGTGTGTTCGGCGGATAACTAACTCACCCGGCCACATACTCCATCGGAGCCCAGGTGGTGTGGTCTAACTCACCCGGCCACATACTCCATCGGACTGCAGGTGGTATGTTTGGCGGATAACTAACTCACCCGGCCACATACTCCATGGCAGTCCAAATGGTGTGGTCGGCGGATAACTAACTCACCCGGCCACATACTCCATCGGACTGCAGGTGGTATGTTTGGCGGATAACTAACTCACCCGGCCACATACTCCATCGGAGTCCAAATGGTGTGGTCGGCGGATAACTAACTCACCCGGCCACATACTCCATCGGACTCCAGGTGGTATGTTTGGCGGATAACTAACTCACCCGGCCACATACTCCATGGCAGTCCAAATGGTGTGGTCGGCGGATAACTAACTCACCCGGCCACATACTCCATCGGACTCCAGGTGGTGTGTTCGGCGGATAACTAACTCACCCGGCCACATATTCCATCGGGGTCCAGGTGGTGTGGTCGGCGGATAACTAACTCACCCGGCCACATACTCCATCGGTGTCCAAGTGGTATGGTCGGCGGATAACTAACTCACCCGGCCACATACTCCATCGGGGACCAGGTGGTGTGGTCGGCGGATAACTAACTCACCCGGCCACATACTCCATCGGAGTCCAGGTGGTGTGGTCGGCGGATAGCTAACTCACCCGGCCACATACTCCATCGCAGTCCAGGTGGTGTGGTCGGCGGATAACTAACTCACCCGGCCACATACTCCATCGGGGTCCAGGTGGTGTGGTCGGCGGACAACTAACTCACCCGACCACATACCTACTCCATGGCAGACCAAATGGTGTGGTCGGCGGATAACTAACTCACCCGGCCACATACTCCATCGGGGTCCAGGTGGTGTGGTCGGCGGATAACTAACTCACCCAGCCACATACTCCATGGACCATGGCAGTCCAGGTGGTGTGGTCGGCGGATAGCTAACTCACCCGGCCACATACTCCATCGGGGTCCAGGTGGTGTGGTCGGCGGATAACTAACTCACCCGGCCACATACTCCATCGGGGTCCAGGTGGTGTGGTCGGCGGATAACTAACTCACCCAGCCACATACTCCATGGCAGTCCAGGTGGTGTGGTCGGCGGATAACTAACTCACCGGGCCACATACTCCATGGCAGTCCAAATGGTGTGGTCGGCGGATAACTAACTCACCCGGCCACATACTCCATGGCAGTCCAAATGGTGTGGTCGGCGGATAACTAACTCACCGGGCCACATACTCCATGGCAGTCCAAATGGTGTGGTCGGCGGATAACTAACTCACCCGGTCACATACTCCATGGCAGTCCGAATGGTGTGGTCGGCGGATAACTAACTCACCCGGCCACATACTCCATCGGAGTCCAGGTGGTGTGGTCGGCGTCCGGCATGAACTTGCGGTTCATGGGCGTGTCCAGAGTGACGGGCAGGATGGCCAGCGCGGTGACTTGCGGCGGCAGGCCGCTCTCCTCGGCGCCCAGCGAGCGCACCAGCTGGTGTACCGCTGCCTTGGCCATGCCGTAGCCCATCATACCTGTGGCGAGCGGCCGGTCAGCGGGCAGCACACGACGGGACTACCGCAAGTCGGGGGGGGGGGGGCGGCACGCCGAGCTGCCGCCGGTCAGCGGGGGGGGGGGGGGGCAGCACACGGAACTGCCGCCGGTGAGGGGTCAATCATTCCACCGAACGCCAGATCGCTTTCCCTCGGACAAGAGTAGACCCCGTTCAGCAATCCCCAGTATTGCAGCCGGTTAAACGCTCCGGGGTTATATTCTCTACACATTCTACCAATCACCAGTCTGTGGCTTAGAATCCAGCTACCCCGGTCGTTCTCAGGGGAATACAGGCCCATACTCGCTGGCCGAGCTGGCTTATCAGCAGACTGGAGCCGAATATGACGGGTCCCACCCACCTGACTGTGACGGTAGGCTGTGACGGTTCCACCCACCCACCCGGCTATGACGGTCCCACCCACCCACCTGGCGTGGGGCCCAGGGCCGGCTGCGCGCCGGTCAGCTGCAGCAGGCCGCCCTCCCGCAGCACGCGCGACGCCAGGTGCGCAGAGATGGCCGAGCTCCAGACGCTCTGCTTCCACATCAGGTCGCAGTTCTTGACCATGGCTGCGATCGACGAGGAGGGGGGAAGGGGGTTGGTCAGTCACGGCCGCGTCCCGGTGACCGAGCCACCGGCACTGGCAGCGGACACAGAATCCACAGAATACTGCCTCTACGATACGGTCCAACAGGAATTCAACCGCATCAAGAGCATCTATTGGCTTGGTGAGTGGCAATGTAAAACTACACCACCTACAGGAAGCATCACTGTCCCGGTGCGGGTGGCCGGACCGTACAGCCGACCGGCCCGCCCGCCCAGCCCAGCGCCGCTCACCCTTGGCCTTAGCGCTGCCGCCGGCCCAGCCGCCGGCCACGCAGAAGATGGCGTCCAGCTTCTCTCCGGCCAGCGCGCCCTCGACGCCTTCGAGAACGGCGGCCAGCTGCTCCTCCCACGAGTCGGCCGGGCGCACCAGCACGTTCACGTCGGCCTCCTCGTTGGGCGCCAGGTCCACGCTGCCCACCCACTGGACACACAGAGCGCCGGTCAGTGGGGAGGTGAGGTCAGTTGCGGGTCACCGGGTGAGGGCAATGGTGCGACAGGTCAGTCAGGCAGTGGCACGGATCAGGACCGGGGTACTGGGTCAGAGTACGGATCGGGGTCGGGGTACTGGGTCGGAGTACGGATCAGGGTCGGGGTACTGGGTCCGAGTACGGATCGGGGTCGGGGTACTGGGTCCGAGTACGGATCGGGGTCGGGGTACTGGGTCCGAGTACGGATCGGGGTCGGGGTAGGAGTACGGATCGGGGTCGGGGTACTGGGTCGGAGTACGGATCGGGGTCGTAATCGTAATCGTAATATATTTGAAGGCACATCCACTAGGTATAAGATGGTTTTTACGCACCCGAGTCAATTACAATGCATAAGACACATGAGATAAAAATAAAATGAATGAGAGGTAAAATCACTCGCCAAGACAGTCAACCAACACTCATACATATATAAAACACCGCATACCTTCACCTTTCAATCATCTGGCCAAGCCTCAATGAGCAGTAGCTTCTTGAGGTTACGCTTGAAGGCGTTTCCGCTAAGACACCGTAAATCAGGAGGCAGCTGGTTGAATGCGCTGCTACATTGTGCTAACATCCGTGCACCAGAGCATGTCCTGACTCTGTGGTTTTGAAGAAGGCCAGTCTGGCGGGTCTGGTACTGAGTATTGACATGCGAAAACATTGCTGCTATGTCGGACGGCAGGCCAGTCTCTAGGGCAGTTTTGACCAAACACAGTCTGTGATACCTCACAAGCTGCACCGCAGGCAGCCACTTGAGCTGTTGTAGTACATCGGAGATATGTTGGAATTTACGCCGGCCACTAATAACTCTAGCACAAAAGTTAAGGAGCTTCTGGATGCGGTTCAGCTGAGTTTTGCTACAAGACCCATAGATGGCGACACAGTACCGGATGGAGCTGACTACGAGCGCGTTTACAACATAAGCGACAGTCCAGGACGGTAAGACATGTTTGGAATGTGATAGCGAGATTAAAAGCCCAGTGCACTTCGCTACCAGCTGAGTAATGTGGTCCTCAAATGTGAGATACCGATCCATGGTGAGACCTAGGTTTCTGACACTGTCACTCTCAGAAATGATCGACGTGCCAAATCTAATTTGGATCGGCTGAATGTTTTTCAACATACCCTTGGTACCATGTACCATGAGTTGAGTTTTTGCCTGGTTAATTTTCATGCCGTTTGAGCCAAACCAATCGGCCAGTGCTGCAATTTGTTTCTCCATAGTTGAGATCATCTCATCCAGCTGATCTTTTCTACCTTTTACAGCTATCTGTACGTCGTCAGCATATTGCAGTATTGTTGCACCAGGAGCGTGCAAAGACAAATCGTTGCAAAAAATGGAAAACATGATCGGTCCGAGCGCTGTACCCTGAAAAACGCCCATCGGAATTGGTAGTGACTTCGATCGAACCAGCTGTCCATTCGTAGTGCGGTATTGCACTTGCTGGGTGTGGTTAGCAAGGTAAGACTCGAACCAAGCAGTGTCCACATTGTAAAGTCTGAGTTTGGATAACAGAAGTTCATGGTTGACAACGTCAAACCCTTTTGACAAATCACACAATACGACAAGTACAACTTCAGAGTTGTCCATGGCAGATAATATAAAATCCGATAAAACCGCAAGAGCAGTTTCGGTGGAATGCAGTCTCCGGTAGCCATGCTGGGTTGAAGACCATAGCTCGTGATTTTCAAAATATTCACTCAACTGCTGGTGCACAATACGTTCCACTATCTTTGAGATGCTAGGTACCACGGTGATTGGCCTAAATTTGGTTACATCAGACAAGTCCGCTGTTTTAGGTAGTGGCGTGACCAGTCCATGTTTCCATGGTTGTGGTACGCAGCCAGAGACCAGACTAGAGTTAACTAAGTGGAGGAGAATGTGTCCAATGCCATAAAAACACTTCTGATACAGATAGACACTGATACCATCTGTGCCACTGGACCTAGACGGGTTTAGACTCGCCAAAGTACACATGAGAGAATCGAGCGTGACAGGGCTGACATTAAATGAACAGGTGAGCACTCGTGGCAAAAGCACTGGCACTGAACGACTGGGCGGAGACACAGTTGCGGCAGTAGCAGGTCCAACGTTGACAAAGTGACTGTTCAGTACATCACAGTCTACCGTGGGCACAGCGGACGTTGTACTCTTCCCTGCACCTATCACTGACTTGAGACAGCGCCACATGCTGCCCCGGCCGGCCTCTACGATGCGGCGATGGATGTCATCCCGACTATCACGGCGAATAGATGCTCTAGTCTCACGATTGAGCCGCTTGTAACACTCACGATCACCCGATCTCAGCGCCAACCTGCGCTGATTCATCAGCGCCTGTGTCACGTCAGACACGCGAGGGGCACCAGGATTACGCAATCGCACACGACGCACCGGCGCAGCATGGTCGAGAAACGATGTGAATGTCGTGACGAATCGATACCACTTATCAGTGACAGACGGTGCTAAAAAGACGGGCAGCCAATCAAACTCAAACAGGGCGCTGTTAAAGTACTCAAAATTCAGTTTGCCGAGACAACGAGATGAAATAACTACCGGTTCATTCTTACGCTTGATAACACGAATTATAACTCTAGAGAAATTATGTGGACTGAAAAAGCAGTGAGTCACTCCACTACGACGTAGTTGGTTCACAGGCCTTACAGCGATCGAGTCTATAACAGAATTGGCAGGGCGATAGGTTGGAACTGTTGAGTTGCACTGTCGCAGTTCATATGCTGTCAACATCGAAGAGAAACGTCGAGATTGTGGGCAAGAACGCTTTAACTGGTTCAGATTGTGGTCACCAGCTATCACAATTGTCCCGGGATGAGCGGCCAAGACGTACTGGATCTGGTGTTCCAAGTCGTCGATGTCTGCGGTGATCTGGGCGACTGTCTGGGTGGGGTGACGATAAAATGAGCATAGCGTAACGAGGCGGTGCGTGGGACTACTGATGATAGTCCAGATGGTTTCCAGGTTTGAGGCTCCACCAGAGTGGGGCACATCAATTACCTGGACACGTAGACACCGCCGCGCTAGCACTGGGGTACTGGGTCGGGGTACTGGGTCGGAGTACGGATCGGGGTCGGAGTACTGGGTCGGAGTACGGATCGGGGTCGGGGTACTGGGTCGGAGTACGGATCGGGGTCGGGGTACTGGGTCCGAGTACGGATCGGGGTCGGGGTACTGGGTCGGAGTACGGATCGGGGTCGGGGTACTGGGTCGGAGTACGGATCGGGGTCGGGGTAGGAGTACGGATCGGGGTCGGGGTACTGGGTCGGAGTACGGATCAGGACCGGGGAACTCACAGCCGTGGTTCAGGTCAGGGTGAGGGTACTCAGCCGTAGTTTGGGTCAGGGTCGTAGTACAGGTCAGGCTCAGGACACTGATACAGAGTACTGTCCAGAGCCGGGGAAAGGGGCACGACTCAGTCAGCCGCACCGGCGCACATTCCCATCAGCAGCAGTACCTTTGTCATCTACAGAGCTAAACGATGATCATTTCACTATACATAAAACATTGTCAAAAACAGCGTTGAATAATGTTATCTGAAAGGGGTGAATATGTATGGCCATCCATGAGGCTGGATGCATAAGCTCAAAGTGCGACACAATGCAGCCGAGTGACCGAGAAGTACGCAGTCAGCATATGACATATGAGTGGCCGAGAACCCCTCAGTCAGCGTATGACAGCCAGCTAGAGCACGACTGGCCGACCCAGTTCGCCGGCTCGGAACAACACCCACATACACGACATCCAGCTCAACCTACCCAGCTCTTGGCCTTGAACGCCTTAACGCAGGTGGATCCGAGGGCTCCCTTGCCGCCGTACACCAGAACTTTCTTCACAGATGCCATGGCGAGAGCTCTGAAATATCGACCCATCACAGTCAGCCGTGAACGCACTAACACATTTCACGGGCGGTTTACTGTCGCGACTCTAATGCAGGTTGGATGCGTCTCTGGCAGACAACCCGACGCTATCAACACCTATGGTCGGGGTCGATCGGAGTCGCACCGACGGAGGCCGGCGGCGGACCGTCCGGTCCGGATCCTGTCCGGTCCGGGTCCGTCCGTCCGTCTGGTCCGGTCCGGTCCGGTCCGGTCCCGTCCGGGTCCGGTCCAGGTCCGTCCGTCCGGTCCAGGTCCGTCCGTCCGGTCCGGGTCCGTCCGTCCGGTCCAGGTCCGTCCGGTCCGTCCGGGTCCGGCCGTCTGGTGCGCTCGGGGTCCGTCCGTCTGGCGCGCTCGGTCGACACGGCGCCGGGCGGCTCATTTCCATCCCGGTCTGATATCGCCCCACCGCAGCCGTGTCGGATCGGGGGGAGGGCGGTACAGCCATGTAAATTTGGAGCGCGGAGCCGGAACGAGCTTCAGCCCATGGCAGGCCACTGCACTGCTGCACTGCCCTGACCAGCCTGAACTCAGCCAGCAGGACAGCCCTGGCGCTGGCAACTGTGGCCGACTAGGGCACCGGGCAGGACATCAGTTTGGAACTCAATAGCCTTCAGAATCAGAGGTCACCAGACACTGATCCTATCATATACCAGTGAATCTCATTTTATAAATCACTTTTGTCTTTTAATAGAAAAGGTTAGAACATCACAGATGGTTCCAATTTTGCCTGACTGTGGTGCAAAAACTAATATGCACTATACAGCATTACCTACTCAATCAATCCGGCCCAATCTTACCAATGCCGTGAATAGGATTTGGCAGCACTTGCCGGAGTTTACGGCACTGATATCAAAGATATCCTTTTTATTTACATCCAGTTAATCTTGTCCAATGATTTTGATAGCGTCAATGATTATGAATGTTGCCTGAACGAATGAATAAGTGAATGTTGAATAGTCTAAATGTTACCAAATGCCGTGAATGCGCATTCACAGCATTTGGTAAGATTGGGCCCAGGATCTTGCTCCGAGGTCAATTTTGGCACTGAGCTATTCAGATCATAGCATATGTCAATTGACATTAACTTTTGAGAGGAAGGTAATAATACATTGTAGTTACATTTCTCAAAGTTACACATTTACCCTCGCCCGTATAGGGTGGGGTGGGGGGTCGAACGGACCCCTCCTCCTTGGTTTTTCGCGAATAACTCGCGTAAAAAGCGTCCGATCGCGACGAAACTTTCAGTACCCGCGCGTTGATCAATTTTACACCTACCCTGAAAATTTCATGACCCTGACGCAAATGACCTTTGACTTACTTTCCGAGACCATGTTTGGCCGGAATCGCGAATCGGCGTATGTCGGCTCGCATTACCCGCGCGTTTGCAAACTTTTCGTGGTTTCAAACGTTCAAACATGTGATTTGTGTTGCTCCTATGCATTAGGGTGAATGTCAAGGTCACCTGAGGTTCAGGTCAGGTCATTGACCTTTGGTGACCTCGGTTCACTTTTTCGAGTTTTGCATGTTTCTAGGCTAGTTTTTGGAGCTGAATTCGAACTTAGCAACCATTAAAACATTTACGAAGTAGCTTTGGTGCCTTCCTTAAATGTTATGAAGCTGTCAGAGACGGCTGACACGTACTATGAATACCTGTCACGACCCCTACTGGTTGACCTGACCTGATCTGATCCAACATGGTCTAAATGCTTAAAAATATCATCTGTGATCAAAACTGACACGATATTCGTGATCAGCAGCCCGAGGGACCCCATAGCACCCACACTTTACGACTTTTTTACAGGTCCCGATTTTCTCGACTTTTAGGTCATTGACCTGACCTGGAAGGTAAACCGATGACCAGGACCTAGGGCCTTAAAAATGGGTATCATCGGCTTTATCTCGTGACGGGCAGCACGCTCGTTTTTTTCCGCGAAACTCTAGCTCCCCGACTGGAAAAATGCACGCTTTCGTCGAGAACTCGAGCGTAGTTGGGCGTTTGCGCCGAAATTTTTCAGCGTACTTCGGCGTAAATCGACGGCTTGCGCCGAAATTTTCGGCGTACTTCGGCGTAAATGGACGGTTTTCTCTATCCCTCTATCGCAAACGGCTCCGAAGCAGTCGCGAAAAACCCGTCAGGGGGTGGCACCAACCCCCCTCGGCCGGCGAGGGTTAAATGTCTTCGGGAGTTAAACATCTTAAATATCACTTATCTTGTCTCGTGTTCGTCTCAGGGTATTTAAGTCATGTTCAGTGAACCTGATTGCGACTCTCCCACGGCGGGACAGTTCACCGATCGAGAGTGAGGTTATGGATTGTCGGATCCCCTAGTTCAGATAACGTATGCTATCGTTTGCGTATTGACCGTTGTGATTCCTGTATTTCCGGCGTGTGGTTTGCGAGCGGACGCTGGCAATCGGTCCCGCGTGGCCTGGTATCTGCCCGATCCCATCGGCCGTGCTTGCACCACGCCTGTTGAAGGCCCCGTCAGGCGTCAGTCACCGGCTGGGCACATACTGCTGATCAGAGCCGGGCAACAAAATAAAGGTTACGTTATGGAACATGCCAGTGAGTTTGTGAGTCAGGAGATTTTGTGATAGCGAACGCTGGTGCTCGGTCCCGCATGGCCTGCTGATGTCTATTGTCTGCCCGATCCCGTCGACCGTGCCAACAACCGTCTGTAGACAGTAGTCACTGGAAGACAGCCACACACACACGCCAGCCCCCCCCCCTCGACGAAAAGTGCGTGGCTACAGCCTGCAGCCATCAGTAAGCCTTGAAAATTTTCGGCGCATGAAGCATGGCTTGGTAAAATAATTTCGGCGCATAAACCCTTGCGCCGAAATTTCGGCGCATCACCTCCGCCGAGAACTTCAGCGTAGTGGAGGCATTTTTTCCAGTCGGGTCTAGCTCGATCAGGGGCCAAACGCGAGGGAGGTCGTACCAACCCTTGTGCCGTCGAAAGACGCAAAATGGCCTGTGCCGGCGAGGGTTAAAGGGACCCTCCCACCTTCAAAAAAGTTTATGAATTGGCATGAAAGTGATGTCGCTCGGTTCCGAAAGAGCGAAAACGAATATCTACCAAATTTCACCGAAAAATATTCACCGGTTTTCAAGATATTAGACTTTTACTTTTGTTTACTTTTTTGGGATCTCCGCTGTTTCTAGCGACTTTATTTTAGAAGTGCGGCGTTTGCGGCAGATGTTGCGCGCAAATAGCATATACCACCGCGTGCTACAAAACGTTTTAGTCAAACATGTAAAAATCGTTAGATATTTGCGCTGACGTCACACATTCAGAGGGGTATTCCTAAGCATTAGCCCCTCTGAATCAAAATGCTGCAATTTTGAAATTCAATATTTCCGATTTAAGGCATTGCTCGATGTTGTGAGTGCCGAAACCGGTAATTGTGAGCCAGGGACCCCATTTTGGCTATCTCAACTCAAATCTTATGTTAAGGTGGGAGGGTCCCTTTAAAGGGACCCTCCCACCTTCAAAAAAGTTAATGAATTGACATGAAAGTGATGTCCCTTGGTTCAGAAAGAGCGAAAACGAATATCTACCAAATTTCATCGAAAAATATTCACCGGTTTTCAAGATATTAGACTTTTACTTTTGTTTACTTTTTGGGATCTCCGCTGTTCCTAGAGACTTTATTTGAAAGTGCGGCATTTGTTGCGCGCAAAGCAGCATATACCACCGCGTGCTACCAAACGTTTTAGTAAAAGATTTAAAAATCGTTAGATCTCCGCTGACGTCACAAATTCTAAGGGGGCATACCAATGCACTAGCCCCTTAGAATCCGAAAACTGCAAGTTTGAAATTCCATATCTCCGAATTAAAGCATTTGTTGATGTTGTGAGTGCCCAAACCGGTATTTGCAGGCCATGGCCACCAATTTGGCTATCTCAACTCAAAACTAATGTTAAGGTGGGAGTGTCCCTTAAAATAAAACTTGAATGTGGTAGTTGACACTATTTTGTTCTTGACTATAGGACAAAATTGATGTGTTTTTTTTTTCATGCAAATGATTTGGTTCAAAAATGGTTTTGAAGATCATGCTACATTTTCACAAAATTGAAACATCTCCAAAACTCTGTGTGTGCCACATAAACTAGTAGGTGACAGAAGGGTACTTTTTGGTTCCATTTACCTTCCCAGTAAACATGCCGACGTCGGCCCAAAGTCGGTTCAACCTCGGCCCGACATCGGCTGGACGTCGGGTACGCCCGCATGTACCGACGTCCAGCCGACGTCGGGCCGAGATCGTCTGCCGAGGTTGACGAGATCGTTTGTCGTTGGACCGACGGGGCCGACGTCGGCATGTTTATTGGGACAACGCGCCAAAAATATCAGCCGGCGGCGGGATTCGAGCCCCCCAGTCGCTGACCTCGGCATGTTTACTGGGACAACGCGCCAAAAGCATCAGCCGGCGATGGCATTCGAAGTTCGAACCCCGTGTCATTTGAACGCGAGGTTAGTGCGCTAACCACTACACCACGCAGCCAGATGGCGTATTCAGTTTGTTTTGTTGGTTTATGCCGGACACACACCTGCACCAACGTTTCCCAAAGTGTCCCTTTGATAAGTGGCACTTTGGCAAAGTGACACTTGCCGACTGGCCTTTCTATATGAACTGGGCCCGGCCCTGGTGAGTTGCCGGGGCTGAGCCTGACCAAAGGATAGGCCGAGCAGCCCCCAAGCACTCACCGCACCCGGCTACGGGCGAGCTCGGCTTACGGGCAATCCCAAATGGGATAAAGTTTCCCGTCCAGTCCGGATCAGGAGGTTGCGGCGTGGAGGAAGATTTGAGTTTCCTGAGGATATTTTGGATACAGAAGCTCTTTATGAAGCATAAAACATGCATTTTATATTATTTTAACGGTCAAAACAGCGGCCGATGTCGGTCCGACGTCGGCCCGACGTCGGCTGGACGTCGGTACATGCGGGCATACCCCGGACATCCAGCCGACGTC